GAAGATAGACCATCCAAACATTGTGAGTACAGTTTAATAGTAACATTGTATTCTGTCTCTTATACACATCTAGATGTGTATAAGAGTACATGTATATGTATGTGATAGGGAGAGATAAACTGTAGATCCTCTTGCGGTAATGCTGTAATTATAAATAAGTAATAATAATTATAATAATTTAAAAGTTGAATTTTTAAAAGTTGAAGAGGAATTTCCGCGTGTGAAAAAATTGGTACCCCAACTGTGATTCTAATCCAGGACCTTTTGCTCTCTATGCACATGCCTGTAACCAACTAGACCATTGGGGCTTTGTTGGAAATTTTAATCTAATTAAAGCATCTAAATCTTTCACAATCATGCACAAATGCATATTAGACAACCAAACAACATTAGTCCTTGATGCATGGCAAATAACAGATCAATATGATACGCCCTCTTTTATCAACAAGACGACAAGATGAGATCTTCGAAGACATGCTTTTTATAAATAAATACAGTAGTGATATAAATATTGAATATATATAAATAATATTCAAATTAGGTTTTCTGCGTAGCACTGTAAATACAATCTATATAAACAAATATATAAATAATAATAATAATTCAAGCACTGTTATTTTATCTATTGGTTATATGTATATATAAATATTAATATATATAAATATTAATCTTATACGTAATGTTCTAGGTAATGCTAATGAATATATTATTCCTTTGCATTTTAACTACCAATATTTAGACCAATAATAAATACTATTCTATAACATCTTAATTCTTAACCTAAGAATGAGATAGCTCTTTACCCACCCTTCATTCTGTTTGATGCAAATATGATACTGTATGGTAAATATGCATGACTGTACAGTTGTATCAAGCAATCTACATTCAGTTAATGTCACCATTGAGCTGTAATGCCATTGTGGATTTTGTACAATTAACAAACAATGCAGCGATGGCAGCTCAACGGATGAAAGGCTGCTTAATAACACAAAGGCGTTGAACTGGCATGTTATCAGTTTGACTGCTTTACTGGTTACTGCCCAGTTATACAGTAACCCAACTGTTGTTTCACATCAAATCTAAATCTAATTATGTCTTGTACATTGGACAAAACTTTTTTTAGACCTTGTTTAGCGAACATGCTGCCCGCCAATAGTGATGATTACGAATAAAAATAAAATTTATTTTCGGCCAATTAGCACACCCGCTGCCACGAAAAAATTGGAAATTTTATAAATTTTTGTTAAGATGCTTTACTCCCCAATCCCAGGGCCCAGGTTTCTCACAGCTAAAAATCAGCCCCACCCCCTGAGTCTCATAAAGAGACTTAGTTTATAAAGCAGTTTTCCATTCTGCAAGTATACTTGCTGTTGGAAGGAAGTTTGTAAGAAGATATTTAAAAAAATAGGGCCTTCTGTCTGTACATCATAGAGTAGAAAATGTAAAAATGTTAATTAATAATAACATATTTTAAGTAAAATAATGAAAATATAATGAATATTTTTGTTTTATTTATTCAGGGGAGCAACTTCAGTTGTACATGAATGCTATGAAAATGGAACCAAACAGAAATATGCAGTTAAAGCAATACATAAAAATGTAAGTGTAGTAAATATCTGTAATTATTTACAGTCATTTATTTTTTGTACTCTTCATCACCTATCAGTGTAACCATTTTTTTGTTTTAATTTTTACAGCAAAATTTCAGAATGGAGGGGGTGCATGCAAGGTGCAATATTTTCTGGGAAACATGCACCCTCACACCCACCTACGCATTTTGTGATTTTGCTAATTGTATCTTTCAGAATCATGACAAGGCAGCGAAAATGGAGATTAGTATTTTGTTGAAGATAGACCATCCAAACATTGTGAGTACAGTTTAATAGTAACATTGTATTTATTTTAATTCTTTTTAGTTTTAACTGTACCTTTTAAAAGCAACTTTATTTTTGCATATTGTTCCAGAGGCTCCTTGGTAACGTGAATACGGAGCAATACATTTAGTGTTTGTTGTGTGAAAGCGACAAATTTTGGTAGTGAAAAATCAGAACACAATATTCTAGTTAATATTAATTTTCTGTCATGTGAATCGGGTGGAAGTGTCTCTTCTGTTTGCTTACAGATCAAGTTAAGGGAATTATTTGAGGAAGGTCCAATATTATATCTTGTGTTGGAATTGGTAACTGGTGGTGAATTATTTGACCGCATCGTGGAAAGGGGCTATTACAGTGAACGTGATGCTGCAAATTGTGTCCGTCAAATATGCGATGCTGTATCTGTAAGTTTTTGGCTGTAGTCATCAAATTTGGGTGTTAGATGTCATCACAAATAAGTCTCTTTCTGCTATAACATAGCAAATATCACTGATCACACCATAAGCTTTGAAAAAAACTTTGGAGAAATCACTTCTAAAATCTAAGCAACTGATAAATCCTAGTTGTTTTTCTTACCTAATTTGGAAAACAGCCTTGCATACTTAAAAAAAAATTGTGTTAAGTAAATCAATGCAGAATGATTGGGAAAATTTTCAAACACCCTGAATCTTATTTACATCAAAAATTACTTGTTTTATTTTCATGAATTGATCTAACACAACTCATTTTGTTATAGCACCTCACATACAGTATTACCAGCTTTTGAATTACTTTTAATTTTTTGGCTGATGATCATTTTCAGCTGAGTTGTTTCATAATGAAGGGCAAAATTTACCCGCTAAGTTGCGCACATGCAAGCAGATTCTTCCAAAGTGCTTCTGTTTGTGCACAACATTTTTGGGGGTTTTTTTTTTTGTCTACTAAAGGTACATCCTGCAAAGGACCTGAATGCATTTAGGAGCAGTGTAACAGGGGCTGTATGGACCAGCACACTTGGGTGACCCCCACAACTCCTCTCAAAAGATGTAGTTCACATGAGCCCATTGTGTAAATTGAGCCTACAGTTTATACAGTAGTCCTTATCGGAGAAGACTTGTTCCACCACCGGAACAATAGACTTGCCATTCAATTTAGGTTACCATCACACTGATTTGTTTTGTCTTTTAACAGTACTTGCATCAGCATGACATAGTCCATCGTGACCTGAAACCTGAAAATCTGTTATACGCGACCCCTGCTGATGATGCACCTCTGAAGATAGCTGATTTTGGGTTGTCAAAGATTCTGAGCGAAGACGTACAAATGAAGACAGTCTGCGGCACACCTGGCTACTGTGGTATGATAAATATTATTTTACATGAATGGTAACAATTTTAAATGTAGGCCTGAAGCAACTACTGTCCGATCATCAAGTTTTATGTGTCCTGTACATGTTTGGGCACTGGCTGTTACATTGATTTTAACTTATCACCGGGGAGGCACCAGCAGGTGGGTTGGGGAGGCCTGGCCCAGCCATTGGGGAGCACGGTAAATGAAACATGGTGGGGCTGAGGTGGGTGTGGACGATGACCCACCTGTAGGGTAAAAACTGGCGCCACCCCCTCCTTACCTTTATAAAAAAAACTTTTTATATAACATTGAGGTTTCCTATTTCGAAACAGTCATCGGATGTGATAACTTTTTTTTTTAATGCATTAATCTAACCTGAGCGAAATAATCTAACCTGTATGGTATACAACTATAATACTTGCTTATTAATACAATTTACACATGAAAATGAGATATCAATAATATTATTGTTGTTTGTTTCCTTCCAGCGCCTGAAATCCTCCTGAACGCACCATACAACTGTAACGTAGACATGTGGAGCGTTGGTGTAATAACTTATATCTTGCTCTGTGGCTTTGAACCGTTCTATGCTCCATCCGATCCTGAGATCTATGCGAAAATTATGAAAATAGATTACAAGTTCATTTCACCATGGTGGGACCCAGTATCTGAAAGTTCAAAGGTAGGCAATTCAATGTCATTAGTTATTGTTGATCCAAATGTAGGGTGATGATCACTGGCTCTTTCAAATGGCACCATACATCATACATACCTGGGCATTTCTTTCGATCCTGGAACCACTTTCATCCATTTGCAATCTGTAATTTTTTCCTTTTACACATGGTCCTGTTTTATATACGTTTTATGATAGCCAATACAGGATGATTATTTTGGGTCTACAAATCTCCTTTGTCTTTGCTTCACAGGACTTGATTAGGAAGTGTCTTGTTTCTGAGAAGAGACTGACAGCCAATGAAGCCTTGCGACATCCGTGGGTACGAGAACACAATAGCGCTGCACACTTTACACATATGGACAAAATACAAGAGAACATGAAAGAATTTAATGAGAACAGAAGACGCAAATTTAAGGCAAGTTTCATATTTTTGTTCCGTTGCTTGGCCTAGCTAACATACACTATGGCAGTGATGAACATAAATGAAGCCTAGGTCTACAAAGGCCTGGGCTACATGAGATAACATGATTGACTAAAGCAATTGTTATTATTTCTGCAGCTGTTTTTAAAAATAAAATCCTGAGGATTACTAATTCCTTCAGAAATTGCCTTCAAGCAATTTTAGCCTCCTTTCAATTCTATTTCCAAACAGCACCATGAAAATGTTGACAATAGTTGCTTGTTACATATTCAATGCATGTTTTTTAGTGTTTAATATTGTGAATATTGCAATTAATTCTAATACTATTCTGATATTAATTGGATAAAAAATTGTAAATTCAGGCTATGACTCATGTTATAATGGCGGTGAATCGGTTGGGGGAATTGATGTCTCCTGATGGTCTAACCGGGGACAAGCCAGATGATGAAACACAAACCGCAGCCACTTCATAAAGTTTATCCGTCATGTATTGTACAAGGTTTTTAGAGAGCAGTTTGCTACCAGAATTCATTTAACACTGAAATCAGGCATGGATTAGATAACTCTAGCAGAGCAGGAACCAGGATTTCACTCACAGCCTTGCTTTGCTTCAGTGGTTGTTATGGCCCATGTGACAGCACAGATACATATAAAGCTTCCTTTACCTCGGATGCAGCAAGCTTGATGCCTTAGAACAGCTTCAATATTTATTTTGTATACATGTCAGCATTTTATATATTTAATAATACAGTCATATTTTTGTGAATTGTATTTAAGCTTTTGTAAATAATCTATTGCAATAATTATAAAAAAAGTTTGATCTATACAAACACATGATTTAGAAATGATGAATTTTTAATAGACAATAGTGTCATGTTTAAGATATCCCTCTATTGTCTTTTGTAGCATCTTGTAAACCCGTACAAAAAACGATCAAATACGACACAGATCAAAACAATTAGTTTATGTTCTACAGAATTTTTACTACAAAATTCCTAAATTTATTACATAGGTCCCAAGTCTCTTATTAAGAATCCTATAATCCTATTCCTATAGGATTATGGGGAGGCGGGTCCAGAATTTTTCAAACAGGGGAGGGCACAACATTTTCAGGATAGGTAAGTAAGTAGCGCTTATTTTAATACATAACATTGATATGCATTAAAATTTTAAAATTTAGTGGCAAAATGGGGGTGGGGGGTAGGGAGCAGCTGGCGATGGGCATTATGATTGCCCAAAAAAATCAAATTAGTTTTGTTTAGAAGGCTAATTAACCAGATCTTCTTCTAACTTGGAACCCCTGTGATTGCCATCCAATTTAAGAGTCTATTAATATGCAAATATTTGAAAAAATTTTACTATTGAAACTAATACTCAAATATATGCGCAGTAACCAATTTAAATATTCATGTTATTCTTAAAGTGCATAGCTCAGTCTATTTTTACTATAGCATTAGTGGTTTGCTTCAAAGGTGTGTGAGAAATAATCTGGAAGTTAAAAGCATTAAATAATTTGCAGATAATATATTACAATGAATGTGTGCCACTGAGGCCATCTATTATGTACCTCATTATTGACTTCAAACGTTGTGGTGATGTTCTTGTAGGATGGAAATCTACAATGTTCAGCAGTAGGTTTCTTTGTCAGCAAAATGAAATTTACACAAAATGAAATTTGATATTTATATTTATATTTAGTCTCAGTGTATATGTTTTTAGGTTTGTTGGTACAATATTGTCGGTGTGCACATTGTGATGTTTACAAAGCAGCAATTCATTCTGACCTTTGTCTACATTACTATTTCTCACCTAAGAGTGTGTGTATTAACTGCAATAGTCCTCAAGGGGAATGGCAAATATTTCATATCACAGTACATTTGAATTCAGTGAATAGGAACTTGAGCACTAAGGGATATTACATCAGGCACTATATAATATAAATGTATTGCAATTATAATGAGGGTACTGTTTTATTCTCTTTAATGAAATCTTTTTTTATTCCTATTTGTGTTTGGAGGCTGGTCAACATTTTTAGATTGTCAAATAAAACATGGAACATATGTCTTGTGTGAATATGTCCATTAATTTTTGTATTTGTTTATATTTTCCAATCATTTTTATGCTGTGAATATTTGGTTTTCCATATTCTACCATTAGACTAATTTAAAGTGATTTAATAATTGTATTTATTAAATATCATAGGAGTGATGGTTTTGCCCTACCATCTTATACTGAATATTCAATACATGCCCAAATACTTACAAAAAAAAAATCTTGCAAGTGATTCCGGTTGGAATTGAACACACAACCTCCAAAATAAGCCTGGACCACCGAGCTTGCGCATAAGTGGCTTAGTTGAATCCAATCCAACTTTGATGTTGTGTTGTCAGAAAATTTTATTGCAGTGATGTTTTTCCCTTATTAAATATTGTTAAATAATAAATTGGACAAATATATATCTTTCTTTATATTTGTATATTTTTGTGTGATATGAATTTGTTTTGATTGAATATAGCTGAGCCTGTGCTGTTGGCATGTTATGCTCATAAATAAAATCATGTTTATGAAATACTTATTTGTATTCTCTTTTTGTGTGAATATTATTTGAGGCCTGGTGATCTATTGGTTGGGTGGGTGCAGTGTGGGGGCTGTCTCTTATACACATCTAGATGTGTGGGGGTGGGTGGTAACAGCAACATACTCCACCAGAAAGCTAAAAAATAGGCTTCTTAAATGAGCTTGAGTACATTAAAGAAACTAGGTGAAGATTAATCGTAGTCCATAATCGGACAAGGTGCTATCATCTGTCAAAAATGTAGGACCAATTACAAACTCTGATAACACTACATTCACACTGTACTTGGCATGCCTGTCAAATGAAATGAACTGAACATTAACACATTCCATTGTACATAAAAATTCCACTACCACAGCATAGAATGTATCTGCAAGCGCAGTATACATTACTAATAACAAATGGGTTTTACTGGCTGTTGTACACAGACAAACAGACAAGGGTTGTACCTGAAGGACGGATGCAAGATTAGATAACCTGACTACAACCTGATCATCAAAGAACTAAACGTTTTTATATATAATTCATGAATATAAATTGAAAACTTTTATTGAAAATAAACAGGTAATAAGTCCATTAAAGTACTGTATTGTAAAATATAAATTTAGAAAATTTAATACAGTAGTACAAAACTTGTATGCAAATTTAGACAATGGCATATGTTAACTATATGCATATATATGAATGCTGATATAAATCAAACTAAGTTATGCATGTACTACTTATAATTGGTGTGATGAACAGCAGACACTTCTGGAATCAAGTTGAACGTTTTTTTAAATCCGCATCAATAAACTGTTTAAATGTAGCCTAGACTGGCTATTAAATATAAAACACAAATGATATTCTCAAAACAAATATCACAATATCTGTTATACTGGTACAAAGTAGTATTTTTTAATGTTCTTTTTGTACTCAAAAAGAACGTAAATGAATCAAGATAATGTAATTGAAATAACTTAGCAGGAAGCTTGGCCTGGCAAACTGGACTATTTCGTTCATGCTTCCACAAAAAAAAAATTCCAAAAAAAAAGCACTATTTTGCTCAGACGAGAATTTACTATACCATGTTTAACAAACCCACCGCACCCCAATAATGATGATTTTGAATAAAAATAAATTTTATTTTTGGCCAATTAGCGCACCCGCCCAAGGAAAAATGGAAATTAAACAAAAAAAATGTTTTTCTTTATTTTTATTACACCCGCCGCTGCCTTGAAATCTCCAAATATATGATATGTATATTTCTTCCTAATTATATAAATTTAAAGCATTTTTAACCATCCCATTACTACACTGTTTACATTCACCAATAAGTTTTATTTTTATTTTCTCCTGTCTGGATGTTTTTGCCAAAACACTTTGCTAAATAAAAAAACAATTTCTTTTTTCTTTTTTACGCCCTCCTCTGACAATCTTTAAAAAAATAAGTTCGCAAAACAAGGTATAAAAAGTCTCACCTTAGTGTACATGGGCCATAGAGTTATAAGAATACTAGAGTACTACAGTAACTTCAAAGCATTCAACGTTCTAAACACGCAGAGCTGTGTGTGTGTGTGTACTCAACAAGACTTAGCCAATCAAAATACGCCTAAGCATCATTTTCAATGGCGCTCTAACTTTAACATGAAAAATTTTAGTACAGCTATATGTTAAAGCTCGAGCATTTCGGAGTAGCATACACGATTTTGATTTTCATTCCTCCTTCAAGCCTGAAGCTGGTGCTTTCCAACAGCGGCCATCGTGTGTGGTTCACATACACGACTCTGCATTGCTTGTCACCTAGTAAGCACTTTAGCTCTCTATCATGGGCTAGAAGATAACCGAGGCACTAGACCATGAAATGAATGTTGACTTATTATAACTTGATTTCTAACTACTGTATAACCATCTTCCCTATTCAATAATACTTCAAGTACTGGTCAGATTTTTTGTCAATCAACAATGTTTGATTGGACTAAAGTAGAGCATTGTCCATCTTCTAAAAAGACAATATAAGCTGGCTGGTATCTAACTTGAATTAGCCTCATGTGTGGTATTGTTATGCTAATGAGCCAGATAAGCACAATCTGCACATGCTCAGAAAAACAAAACTTCCCATAGCCACATTGTGTATCGGCTAGGTGTACAGCTAGGCCTAGCCAAGAATTACGGTACGGTAAAGCAAAATAAGGGTACTAATTTCACTTGGCATGGAAATCAATCATACTTACACACTTAAAAACAAACTAATCTACCAATAAAATCACCTGCTAGTTAAGATATAAGGCAAGTATGTTTACAAATTTGATTTTAAATCGATGTGATTTTGTTTTCTAGTATTACAATGGACATCACATACTGTAGGCTAGCCTGGGCCTAGGCCATGTCTAACTGCTTATAAAAATGCAGAAAAAAGACCCAAAACAAATTAGAATGAATTATTAACCAACAAGTGCATTAGAATTATTCATATGTACTTACTACTTACCTATATAAAATTAAAATGTATTGCTCACAAACGCCAATATTTTTTATTTTAATACGCCTTTTCCACGAATCGGCAGACATCTTCAAGTGATGACAAACAACCTAAGTCAGCGGTGCGTAACAAACAAAAAAAAAGGACCTAGCTGCTGTACGCCTAGCCGATACGCAGTGTGGCTAAGGAAAGTTTTGTTTTTCTGAGCATGTGCATATTGTGCTTATCTGCTTCATTAGCATAACAATACCACACATAAGGCTAATTCAAGTTAGACGACTTAAACCAGCCAGCTTCCTATCCTGGTAACAGTTAAAAGTCCTTGGTCAAGCATGAGCAACAAAAAAAGGTTTTTATGTGAAAGGAATTACCAGCATAATACATATTTACTGGAAATAGGTAAACCCATGCAAAGCACCTTTTAATTTTTTTTTTTTTCATATGTAAGCTGACAGCCAGTTCTGTATCAACTTCTTTTTTTATCCCACAGAGTCCAGTAAAAATGTCAAATATGAGCTCAACTATGCACTAACATACGTAACAAACGTCTACATTCCATTCTCATCTGATTCCTTTTGTTTCCTGATAAATGTATCTATGTTCCAACATAACTCTGGCTGGATTCGATACCCATTGAAAACACAATGCACCGCCATCTTTGGTTCATAATTCAGGTTTGGTAACAGCTGAAAAGAAATGGGAGGAAAAACCTACATTAACTGACCAAAATGAGAATGTGTTCTTCTATAGGTGTGTTGTGTTGTCTTGTCTTAACACAACCCAACAACCATAAGAAATGGATTCACACTGGTAGGGGTTTAGGGTCAGGAATATGTGCATGTCACACAGCCACACACAGTCATTTTTCTCCATGAATGGCTGCTGATTTGTGGGACCATAGTACAATATCTAAGGTACAGAGATTCACACAACAGAAAAGAATCTACTGAATAAAACAGGAATATATGTTCCAATATTTCTCCACCAAGATTCATAGCATTCACACAAACAACAATATGGCTAGGCCCAAGCTAGACAGATGTACTGTAGGCCTACTACCAAGGCCTAGCCCTGCATAGGGCCTACATGTTGGTTATTTACAACAATCAAGGTCAGAGTTTAAAAAGCTTGGCTAAGTTGAGCCAATCATGTTACATTTAACATAGCCAACATACACTTACCTTTGGTGTGATGAGGAAATATTGTGATGTGGATTCACGGCATGCTGTCTGAACCATAAACTCAAACACTTTACGTTCGTTGTTAGGATCCATTCCCTATAGTTTAAGCAACAGAATCAATTATAGAAGTGTATTGAACTGCTGTTACAAGAATCATGTTTTTATTTTATTAAATTTATTAACGCATGTAGGAGAAAAATATACAGTACACGGGTATAGGAGCATGCAAAAAGGAACACTTTTAATTATCACATGACAGGAACACAGCACCCTTGGACTGGGAGTTAAGCAAATTGCATAATAAAACAAAAACTATAAAATTTTTGTCACCTGATTAATCTCATCTACAACACGAAACGGACACTTGTTGATCTCTTGCAAGGCCATCAGGTAGAGAATCGTGGATACGCTACGCTCACCTCCACTCTGGTAGTGTGAGGTCAGCTCTCGAAGTTGTTCATTCGCGCGAAACTTCACCCTTATTATGATTCCATATTTATCAAAATCATCCTAGGAAAAAAAAATAAAAAACATTGGAACAGAAATGAGCATAATCTCCAAGGGGTAGCCATCTGCTGTATTCCTGGAGCCCTTCCCACACAGGTGATACACATATCTCTACCATCAATGTCTGGGTTCTTCGAAACTAAATTCAAGTCAGTGGTCCCAAAGCCAATCAAATTAGTATGTAAAAGGGCAGTTTACATATTTCCACCACAAGCAGATAAATTGCCAAAAAAACGGAAAAACAATTCATGCAGAACCTATTCTATTAGAAGACACTCTTTTGAATCAAAACAGAACTCACCTCATTTTCATAGTTGAGTGCAACTTCCCCAGCACATCCCATCTGGCTGAAGAAATCAATGAACGATTCATTGACTTTCTCGATAAGCCTCCTAAGGGGTGGTAACCATCTTTGCTTCCCTTCTGTAATCTCAATCGTGTGTCTCTCCATAAACTTTCCATGTTTCTCTATCTGTTAATAACAATAATAACAATCACGCTTATTCGAGAGCGGCATCTCAGCAAATTGCACGATAAAGACCTCAGGATGATCCAATGGTAGAGAGAGAGTGGCAAAATGGACTATATAAGACTACCATTACAACATTAATGAGTTTTAAAATAATATAATAAAAACACTGTAGATATTAAACTCATATCAATTTGCTTGGTCCAACTGCAAATGCGTCGCCGTGAAAATCACCCTATCTCTTAACCATTAGCGCTTCTTCGAAAACATTGTTTTTACTACAAAAACTGTAAGTAACTTAACAACTGGAGGTCGGATAAATTAGGTTGAAACGGTTTATTGAATGTTATAGATATAGCTATTGCAAACAAATTACAAAACACTTTTTTTTCCTAATATATAGCTCCATCATTTTTCGGTTGAATTACGAAAATATAAACTATATTAGTGTGTTTTCAGCGGGATTTTGAGCTGGCTTATGATACGTTGTTTCTTTATCATAACTTAGTCTACACAAATCCCATCACTTTGGTTAAAGTGGCAACTTTAATAAATAAAAACTAATCTGATTAGATAAAATTTTCTTCCATCATTTTTCCATTCTTTCAAACAAAGGCTTTCAGGTTGTTTCTTTATCATAACTTAGTCTACACAAATCCCATCACTTTGGTTAAAGTGGCAACAGAAAGCAAATTTTCTTGTAATCAGTTATAAATAAAAACTAATCTGATTAGATAAAATTTTCTTCCATCATTTTTCCATTCTTTCAAACAAAGGCTTTCAAGATGAAAACTGCCTGGGCTCACAGCCGGCTCAGGGAATTGGCGCATTCCATTTTCTGAACTTAAAAAAAAATATTGTACCTGCTGTATCAATGACTTGTTAAACTCATTAAATGAATATGCTTGATAGTGGATATATCTTATTCCTACAGTGTGATGCATAGATTAGGAATGTATTTTTTATAATGTTCACTAATAATTGATCTTCTAAAAAATGCATTTCTATATACACTTTTCAGAAAATAAAATCGTCAAAACATTGCGCTGTGCAGCACGCTCAATCTGTTCATTTTTGCATTTCATACACACGCGTATGAACGTTTTTACCACACACGTTTGTTACGTGGTCAAACAGCCCAAACAAATTGGTACTAAACAAATCTTGGTTCTACCATAATATGAGGCATGTCATGGCAAAATGACTATAAAGTTGTCGCACAGGCCAGTATTAAGTAAATGAGCTATGAAATATGGGAGCACAAAAAAATGGCCTATATGTTTTCAATATAAATCAACAGTTTAATATCCAATTAATAATGTCCAAGTTTTAGCTCTGGAAATGTTATTTTGGTAATTAATTGCAAGGCAATTACTTCACAATAATGTTTATCTTGACTCTATGAGTGCTGTACTTTCACTTCCCAATTACTAAGGCTTGATATATCCAATTTCAATGAATGACCCCTCATTTGAAAATTACATACTGAAGTACCTAAAAATACCAATAACTTTATTTCAATTTTTGTCACCACATGCTCATATAATATGTTCGATACAAGGTGCTGCACCACTCACTGTCTGGTGATGAGTCATTAGCAATACCAATCAACATAGGTTTACCTCTGCATTAGTTTTTTCAATCTGTTCTGCCCTTTGATCAAACTCATCAACAACTTTGGCATCAGTTTGGTAGCAACTTCTTGCTCGTACCGTTTCCTCATGAATCATGTCCTCAATCTCGCTAACCGTTCCCGGATAATTCTTGAATATCTATAAAAAAAAAATCAATAAAAATACTTGGTTTATTGAAAATTAGATCAAATAAAATAATTCAGGAATTATAATTTACAATAAAAATACATTCAGTGGTTAAGATGTTTGCTGTTAACTCGTCCCACTGAATGGTGCTGGGGGGTGCTAGGGATGATTATACTCGTCATAATTGGGGTAACATTCTAGCGTTTATTACTTCTTTGTTATACATTGTAGAACCATAGACTTAATGGCTGGTAGTTGGGGGAAGATATGTACAAATAACGTATGTATGTTTGTTGTGTTATGTTACTGGCAGTACACTCAATTGCACGAGTGGGGGCACTTTCTGAACATATATCAACCCATGCAAAATGTGGACAAGAAAACTCGCACTTGGCAAAGGAAAAAGCACTGTACCAGTGACAAGTTTACTCGCTCCCTAATATTTTCCCGCCAATTTACTAGATACATCATTTTGATGACATATGACTAGATAAAATTTCAAAAAAATGTTTGTACATGTAAAATTGTTTTGGCACACTCAAAGTAACCCAAAAAAAGGGTCTATCAGGCAATGTGTTAAATTCCTGTAAAAAAAATGTCAGGATTGATCAAGGCAGAAAGATTCTTACTTGGAAGAGGGATCTAATTTATCCCTTGGAATTCATTACATTAAACACTGTATCAATAATTACTATTCTTACTTCTTTGAGCTCTGGATCCAGTTCTTCATTTGGTCCCGTGTTTGTCTTTTTTTTAGCGGTACATAACAACTGACGGGCTACCTCTTTGGTATTCTTAGCGAGTTCCGCAATTTCTGCATGTTCAGCCTGGAATTTAAAAAAATTCTATAAACCAGCAACGTCATGTGATACAAGATATTCCTTGACTGATAAAACCAGAGCCTTGCAGGCATCAACGGTCCTATGCATGATACATGACATCATCGGAAAATATAAGGTTGGGTCAAATTTGTGTGGTGGTTTAACTTGAACAAATTTTCTTGAGGAGTAAATATTGTGTGCTTGATTTAAAATTTAACAATAATAGGGGAAATACATGAATTACGTAGGCCTATACAGTATTTTCATATCAGTCTGGAACAATATCGGGGTGTTAAGTATATTCAAAATTGACTTGGGCCCGATTGTCCACACCAGTTGGGCTGATCGTCTGTCGTTATGTGGAAGGACAAGGGAAATCTGATGTAATACATTACTTCAAAGTTTGGGTATACTGTACTCCTAGTAAGTGGACTATCTACATTAATGTTAGGCCTAAAATCTAAATATCATTTTGTTTAGGCCTGACTGGTCTATCAACCTCTAATATAGCAAAATCATTAAATATAATAGTTTAAGCACCTAGAGCAATCTGTGATCGTAGGCACTTTATAAATGCAGTTTTATTATTATCATTACTACTTTAATTATATGTATAGTTTCTATGGGTGTTATCTGAAATAAAGTGAATGAAAGAATAAATGAATATAATTTTTTTAACTGTCAATGTCCTCTACAACCGCTTGACAATGTGACACTGCTGACACTCAGTAACAGACTGAGTGAATCGTCATTAAACCTTATTTCATTGTCAATGGAATCATGTGGGCCAACTACCATTGGTGCAGTGCGTACCTGGCTACAAAAGCTGAAGTCATCTGCCTCTCGTCCTATTACACAGACTAGCACAGCTACTCCACAACTACAAATTTTAAATTAAGTTTGTAGAAACTTACAGTGACTTTCTGCAAGATTGTTTGTGTCTCCTGCATCTCTTCCACCAAAGCTGCTTGTTCTGAAGTAACCACGGCGTACTTGAGCGCAATGATAACGCGGTCTTTGCTTTTATTGCCACATTCCTACAATACAACACGAACAATACAATTTAGATGTATTTTGAAAGAAATGTATCAGAGTATAGAACTGCAAGAGGTCAAACTCTCAGGGCTTCATTGAAATGCAATCCTATCTCAAAAAGTTTTACCAACTAGAGGGTGTGCTTCAAAAGAACAAAAAAGGCATTCGTATTGAATGCGTGCTGAATCTATAAAACACATTTTCAAGTTTCAAAACTTTATACAAATTCCATTAGAGCACCCCCTATCTCGTGGTAGTACTTTGTTTATCGTTTCATTGCGTGCATGCAAAAAATGAAGGCAGTCAGACCTCTAAGGTCTTTGATTGTATTGTCTACACTGGGATTCAAGCCCAAACATTTCAATTATATTTAAGTCGTTGTACCAACTGGGGTACAATGTCAAAATGGTATACGCATATTCCCACTTTAAACCTTGCTTTGAGAAACTGCTGCCCACCTAGGTTTTCAAATAAAAATATGAGTATATTTTAGGCATGTTATTGCATTGCTGCCGCTATAAATAAATGGACGAATACAGCGATTTACAACTTGGAGGGGTGGGGTGTGGGAAGAACACGATAAGCCTGCATTCACATTTTGAATGTCAGGGTGTATGTTTTCATCTTTAGACACGGTTAAAATATATTGCAGATGGTAACCAAAACCTAGAAGTGCCTACATTTTTTTTGACAAGAAACCTTCCATATAATTTTGACTTGGAATCAGATGACTTCTTCTCTGGCGTTGCGGCAGAATCTTATAGCATTGAGCATGTAGTCCAAATAATTCAATACCAGAGTAGCATCTTACTACTCACAGACCAACTATCAAATACTCCCTATTTCATACCATTAAACTGTCTTTGAAGTCAACCATCAACTTGACCTTCTTGGTGTTGATATTCTTCACTTTTTGCTTAAACCTTTGTTCTTCTGCCTCACTGTTAAGCGCTTCTCGTTCACTTTTACTAATTCTGAAAATGATAAAAAACCTTTTGATGATCAATAATGTGTTAACATAGAATTAATATCACACAAATCCATGCTTCTTTAAGGTTTTCTCTTATTATTATTTACCCTTTTAAAACAGTAAAATGAAAAAAACCTACATTTTCCCTGAATTTTATGTCAAAATTAAACTTCTAAATCCCCTTTGAATAAAATCATTCTGATAGATCTTATCACTTTAATAATACTTACGCATCAGTTTTCTGTTTGATATGTGAGGCGACGGTCTTCCTTCTGTTCTGTCGATTGAGTAGTTGTTTTCGTTTGTCCCGCAGTTTGTTATCCTCTACTGTCAGTCCTTTACGCTCTTTCTCTAACTCTTTGTGTTTCTGTACATGCTCCTGGATCTTGCTTTCAAGGTCCTTGATAAGAAGAGTTTAAATAGACAGTAATAATAATGATGAATAAATTGGATTCGTGATTTTTCGTCCAAAGGTTTAGGAGTGAAGTAAATTGTTTTAGAGGAGTAAAAATGTTTTAGAAAAGTGGAGCTGTTTTAGAGGAGTAAAGTTATTTAAATGCCAACAATTTTTTTCAGAAGCAGTGACGTTGTTTTAGTTTCAAAATTTCTGGGATGTTAACAAAATCGTTTTAGCTATACCAAGCCACTTCCTTACCTGCAGTTGAACCTCAAGATTTCTTTTTGCAACCATGTCAATACTGATACTTAGTATTTTAGGGTCAGTTACACTTGTGGATCTGGATGTCGTCTTCCTCGCCCCATATCGTGATGTTGATACAGAATACTGTTCATTTGGTGTGTAGAAATACCGTATCCCAGACTCCTCTATCACCTACAACATACAAACAACACTATGTCGTCATTTTCGTTTATATTCATTATTTAGGCACATGGGCCAAGGTATGTGAATAGTGTGCTTAATCACTGTTTTACAATACAACCATTCAGACTAAATGTTCTACATAGACTAAGTCTCATTATCAGGCTTAGAGAGGTGAGTTCATTCATTCATTCATTTCCATTTATTGTCATTTGCATCATGAAGATACATAGAAATTGATTTTGCTCCGAGACACAATTACATAAAATACAAAATTAATCAACAAAAAATATGCCTACAGACTCAATCATATCCCTCTCATATGATACCGCTAACTAGCTTGAATGGCTGGTGAATAGAGGCTGTTTCGATAACTGTTCGTACGAGTAGGGATAGACCAATAGCGCCTGCCACTATGTAACACTTTGAAGAGAGAATGCGAAGAATGGGTTGTCTTGCAATGTACTGTTTGACCTGCAACACTAACAGGAATTGAACCCAGGACCATGGAATTTGAAATCAAGCACCTTATAACCACCAAGCTACCACTCTAATCCACCCATGAAGTACTCATATTGATGAACCTAGTGGAATTGTCCCCCTTTACTCTTTGTTCTAGTAAACCTTGTATCACTCTTACTAACTTATTTTAATTACAAGAAGACTCAATATTTTTATCACCGGTACAAACATTAAACCCCATATAAACTTAATCTTTTCACAGAGATATTCTGTACTTTTACCAATCTTCCACAGTACAGACATAAAATTATTGCAAACAATATTATGAAAACAACTCTATATTCTGAGATACAAAGCCCTAAATTTCATCCCTGAATATTATTGTAAGAGTATATATGGAACACAGTTGGATGATGTATACCTTTTTGACATTTTCTTGTGTCCATTTTGTTCCAAGAGGTATATTGTGAATCCTATACTGCTTACATAGGTAGGATATCACAGCATTTGGTCCATCAAACAGGTCTGTCAGGTAGTATTCAAACCCCCATTGGCTATAAGATACAAAATGTCTCAAAACAGTAACAATGATGATAATTAATGTTGACCTATGATGATGATGCATTCATTATGACAATTATGATGATGATGTTATGGTTATGATTATTGATGATGATGATGATAATTATGATCATGATGATTATGATCAATAATAATAATGGTTCATTTTTTTATTTAGAAATGTCTACAATTAAAATTTACACACTGTTAGTGGCAAAACTAGTGAATATTAAACCTCCTATGCTCCTGGCGTAGGAAAATCATTCAACATACTAATGTAGACGTCCTTCCTGGTACCATAGTGGGAAGGAGGGTGGGGAGGGTGGTGTGTCTGTTGATCTATAACTCTGAAGAAACTTCAGAGTTTGTATGCTTATATTTTCCAGTGGACAAAGTTTAAGTGTCTAGTTCAAGGACACATGCAATGTGAAAATAAACGACATGCATCCACTATGCTGTTATACATATTAACTTGTTTGCTAATACAATTAGGTATTTCCTTGCATATAGCTTACCGTAGTCTTTCAATAGAGTACTGAGGCTGGAACGGTGGCATCGGTTCTATACTCACTGCACTAATCCTCAACTTTAGTTTATCTCGAACCTATAAAGAAATAAAATGACTAACACACTACCGGCTATATGTGCATTTCATTCAAATATGTCAAGTCAGCTAAGACCTACCTCCTTCAATATTTTGCACAAACTTACTTTGAAATGTACTTGTAAGAACAAATGCACAAATTACTGTAAAGTATTGGCATCAAAATATTTTTAATATATGTGACCAAAATATGTTGGAATTTTTTAACAATTTATAAATCTATTTTATTGCACTAAACTAAACTTTATATATCTATATATCTTGCAATATTGTTATTTTCCCCATTTTTGATCATGTTAAAACATCATTTTTTTAACAATTTGGTGATGGTCTCTGCATGAGAAATTGCCGAAATCATAGGCTTTGAAGGCTTATTCTTAATAATGTTCTTTAAACAGCTGTATGTTTAAATGCCTGTAACTTCTTAATGAAATGTTGAATTTAACATTTTATAACTTTTATAAATATTGTTTAACCCTGTATTAATAACTACAAATCAATTTCTTGCAAGGAGTGACTGGTTGGGCTTGTCTTTGCCACATATATGAGCCATAAAAAAACCTACTAATTAATATTATCATTATCATCATTATTCTTATTCATAGATAAATACAGTTATTGAAATGTAAACCCAGTTGAACAGATGGTGCAGAGTTGACTTTGCAGAAATTACCTTTCAAGACTTGCTTTTCTCAAAAGTAATCTTTGACATGCATCCAGCTAATATATATATATATAAATAAAACTGATCTTACTTCAGACATGAAAAGCCTGTGGTCATCAGCATCTTCACACACAAACGCCCATAATTCTTTCTCTGGAATGGTCTTCTCAATGTATCGAATATGTTCTTGCTTATGAATATTCAGCTAAAAACATAAAAACAATTATCATGAATATTACAGCTGACAGAAACCCAGTACTGTAATTCTTAATATTTATTTGACAGTACATCAAAAAGTGGTGCAGTCAATATTAAACACTTAACTAGAAGGAAAATATACAGTATTTATTTTATATATTAATTCTGCTAATCGCCTCCGCGTAACTTCACCTATCTCCTCTGAAACCGCTGGCAGGAATGTGCTCATCTTTTATACACTGGGGTTCCCCAGGGGCGGATTTAGGGGGGGGCCGGCCCGGCCCCGGCCCCCCCTTTTGGGAGGTAAAAAAAGAAAAAAAAAAGAAAAGAAAGAGAGAAAAAGGAAAAAATGATGGCCAAGAATGCCTCAAATGTCATGTTCGGGCATCTAGAACACAAAAATTTCGCGGGGGCATGCCCCCGGACCCCCTACGACAGTTTTGTCTCAATCGGCCTAACTTTCGGCCCCCCTTCCGGCCCCCCTTTTGGACATTTCTGGATCCGCCCCTGTTCCCATATGTCACAAACACGATAAGCTATTTTTCTAGGCTGGATATTGGATGATAACGATAAAAACAGCCAAAAACCACCCAAAATATTTACTTCTACAGCCATGTTTCGCGAGTTGTTTCACGATGTCTCATACTTTTTAACATCATTTATTTGTTTACACATGTTAAAAACTTGCTGAGCTCTTGAACTTGTAAAGCATCAATATATAAAGAATTTCATTAATTCATAAATTAAGAACCTTGATATCTGAGCTCTCGGGAATCTCATCAAGCTCTTTCTTGTATCCCTCAAGAGATTTCTTCCAATCAAGAACACTGGAAGAAAAAAAGATAAGGCAGTGGATATTTAGCCGGTAAGACATATTTGTTTAAGCAGCATCTTTTGTGATGATCAGTGCAGACGTGCTTCACTGCTGACTTACCAAAGATAAACATGTAATATATAAGGCTTGCCATCTCAAAACCAGCATCAGTGATGGAAAATTTACTTTTTAATATACTGGATAAATGTGATCCAAGCTCACAAACGGGCTGTAAACTCGCACAGCACTGTATTGAGAAACAAGCCTCGATACCCAGAATAGGGCGTAGAATGTGAATTTTGTGTGAATGTGGTTTTTGTGTAATAAATAAAGTATAACTATTATTCTTACTATTCCTGAAGTTTGAGTTTAAAATTCCAATTGTAAGCGTTAAAATTTAGCCATTTTTGAATGGGAACTAATGAAAAATGAATAGAAACCTGCCGAAAATAAAAGCATTTTTCTCAAAACTTGATTTAAGAAAGTTGATAAGATGACAATTATTGAAACGGTCATAACTTTGCTTCCAGACACCCGATTGAGTTCATTTAACTGTCATGTTAAAGTAAATGATATGTTCTATACCATTATAACAAAAACTCATTTTGGCCTAAGGACGAGTTTAGAGCCTGTTTGTGAGCTTGGGTCACAAATAATTAACAATTATGTACAATTGTACATTATTTTATGGTTTATTTTATTCTCTATGGTGTTGTTAAGCGTCTCAAGGTTGTGACAATGCGAGACGCTACATATAAATCCAGAAATATTAATATTATATAATATGTGGCAAAGACAAGCCAAACCAGTCACTCGTCACAAAAATTGATTTTGAGTTATTAATACAGTTTTAGAGAGTAAAATAATAGCTATAAAATGGTAACAAAATCATTCAAATCGGACATTTCCTTATGAAGCTAAAAGCGTTAAACCAGACAGCTGTTCAAAGAACAATATATGAGAAATCAGCCTTCAAAGTTTATGATTTCAGTCATTTCTCATGCAGAAACTATCTTTAAATACTTAAAAAGTGTTGTTTTAACATTGAAAATGGGAAAAATAACAGCATAGGATGGTGTGTAGATATATAAAGGTTAGTTTAGTGCAATAAAATAGATTTTTTTAAATTTGACATTTTAGCATGTTTAGGCCATTTTCTCTAAAACACGATTTGCGACGAGTGACTGGTTTGGCTTGTTTTTGCCACATATATTCTTATTTTCCAAGTTGTAAGCTTAGAAATGGTGGGTCATTTACTATAATCGACTTACTATTGCCAAAGTTATGAGTAAAAGTATTATGGCTTCTCAGTAGTAAGATATACAATACACAATACTGCCACATTCTTATGTTAATTACTCAGTTTAACAATTAGAGTCAATACGCTGGTTGCAAATGTCAAGCCTCATTCCTGCAAAATGCATAATAAAGTGGTCTACCTGCAATATAGGGCAATAATCCTCCAGTGTAAAGTTTGTTACATTTAAAGGTCTGTTCTGGAACTCAACTTTATATCATAATTCTACCGTTATTTATCTCACTCGCATCAACTAATGATAATAATAATTGTTGACTTAAATAGTGCATATTGTAGAGACCTCTATGTACTTAACATTATTATCCCAGGTCATTGGATCAAGCACATATGAAACACAAACTCCGGTCTATTGGGAGAATTCCATAAAGTTGCAGCTTTAATCAGGGCATGGTTGTGTTTGAACCTACCCACTTGTGCTCCTGGGTGGAGAGAGACAACCACAGGTAAAGTGCCTTGACCAAGGACACAAGGGAAATGCACAGCGGGATTTGCAAACGCCTGACCTCAAGGTTGGGAATTCAAGCCACAACCGATACGCCATTTACTCTATTTCATTACTACATTTGCTTACGTTTTTTTTCTTTTCTCTTCTTTCTGCTTCTTTTGTGTCAGGTCTTCTTGGGCATCTTTGATTTCTTCCTCCAAGTCAGCTAACTTTTCATGTTTTCGGTTCAGAACCTGGAAGTTGTTTTTTACTTCTCCAAGCTAAATGAACAAAACATGAATACATTGGATTGTGTACATAAATAATTTGATTATTATATAGTGAAAAAACATTAACCCACCGCACCAAATACATTATAATTTAATCTTTGTATTCAAATAATATGACAGGACTACATTTACCTTTTAACGTTATTTAAATAACAAATAGCATACTTCTGTATATTGTTTGTTATTATCATTTCTTTTTATTTAACATTTTCTTTTATAAAAATATAATCATGATTATTAGTATTTTAGTATTTGCAAAACATTAATAGGGAGATTGTAGCTAAACCATTATACAAGCTGTATATGATTGTTAATTTTTTTAAGGTAATAGATCGCCTATGAGGTGACAAATATTGTACTACTGTATGAGATGGATTGACTAAAAGGATTATGACATATGTATTCGTTATTGTTTTCATAAGCTTGCGTAACCTTCCTATTATTACCTAAAGATAACATGGGCAGCATGGATGATTTTATAAAATGAGAGTAAACTACTCTAGAATACTACTCATTAACATTACAAATAATTTACCTTCTGTTTCATTTCTTCATCAAGTTTCTTCTTCTTCATTTCAAGAGCTTCTGCCTTCTTTGCCATTGGTTCATTCTTTCTCCTGGCTTCTTTAACCTGTACTCCTAGTTTATCTTTTTGACCCTTTAGTTCCAAGAACTCATTGCGCTTTTCAATGTATTCCTGTAGCCAAAACATGAACATTTTCCTTTAATCTGGGCTTAAAGTATGAATCTCACCCCACCTTTTACAAGAGGTACCTGCCAACGAGGAGACCGTTCTTGGCGCTAAATGGTACAAAGATGGAGATATCAAAGGCTCAAAAAGTGGCCCAGTGACATACTTGAGGATGATGTTTAAGTCCCAACGTGGTGAAAGAACACAAGCGGGGGTCGACTGTTAAACATACTACGTATTAACTAACAGTACGTAAATTGGAAACGTTTAACCCATCAGGGAAATTAGGCAAAACGACTGCCAATACAGACTGGTAACCTGTAAAATAGACTTGTCTTACTACACTATAAAAAAATAAATAAATACAGTAGCAAGAAAGATTTATCTATCTTTATCTATCTAGCAAATATGCTTTGTGTATGTTCACATGTGTATACTAAGCTGTTTTACTCACCACCCATGGTTTCTTTTGTTCAAGGAGTTCTACATGTCGCATGTGGCGCTGCTGATCCCGAAACTTGCGCACATCTTCCTCTAGTCGTTGGTTCATTTTGACCAACTTCTCTTTGTGTTCCGCCAACTCATTATGCTTCTTCAACATGTTTTTTTCTTGGTTACGCAGCTCTTTCAATTTCATATGATCTTCATACATTTCTTGAGAACCAACCTTTAAGATTAAAAAGATCATTTGTGGCAAAGACAAACAAAACCAGTCACTCGTCGCAAAAATTGATTTTGAGTTATTAATACAGTGTTAAAGAGTAAAATAATAGCTATAAAATAGTAAAAAAATCATTCAAATCGGACATTTCCTTATGAAGTTACAAGCATTTAAACACACAGCTTTTTAAAGAACAATATATGAGAAATCTGCCTTCAAAGTTTATGATTTCAGGCATTTCTCATGCAAAAACTATCTTTAAATCCTTAAAAAGTGTTGTTTTAACATTGAAAATGGGGAAAATAACAGCATAGAATGATGTGTACATATATAAAGGTTAGTTTAGTGCAATAAAATAGATTTTTTAAAATTTGACATTCCAGCATGTTTTGGCCATTTTCTCTGAAACACAATTTGCGACGAGTGACTGGTTTGGCTTGTCTTTGCCACATTTATTAAGAGATGACTTGTAGATTTGAAGGGACTAATAAATTACAAAAATATGAAGCAGAAAAGAAAGCAAAAAAACAAAATTGGTCTTTGGGAAAATTAAATCTCAAAAGACAACATTTAAATAACATTCTCTAAAATTGGGGAATAATCAGCTAATAATTGTAGAATTACTAATTTCTCACACAATTAAAATTTACAGTAACCTCAAGAGAAAACAATGGTCTTACACTGACAGAGAAAAATGAATCTTTCTATAACAGACTTACAGATTTTTCGGTGCTCTCAAGTAACTCATATGGATTCATCTTGGCAAAGTCAACTACCTTATCCTGATGAAATTAACAGTAAAGTATTAGTAGATTATTTAACATTTTTGGTCAATTCAATGGTTTTATATAATTCCTGAATAACACTTTAAAAAAAACAGTTGTAGTTTTCTCTCTATTCAAGCAAAAGATACAGCCACAATTAAAAAATATGCCAAAACTTGCCATTTTAGTTGGGCATTAAGTATTTTGTATACAATATACAGTGGTGGATTCTGGGGACTTGTCCAAACCGGCCAGGCACACCCCCCCACCCCCCTAAATTTTTGAAAATTATAATAAAAATAATAATTAAATTTAAGTCGGACAGTGCCATTTCTAGCTATTGAGAGGTGCTGTAATCATAAATTTTCTTGCCTCAGCCCCTAACCATGGTGAGGCTGAGGTAGGTGGACCCTCTATCTATGAAGGCCCCTCGCTGGGCCTCCTCATAGATTCGAATTCCTGGATCCGCCAATGATATGCACAATGCCTATATTTAAGTTGGCTTGTTTACAAACATAAATGTGCAAAGGTGAATATGGTCATCAGGACCAAAAAAATGAAATTCATGTATAATACACAAATTATGATTTGTCTTTGTTAGGCACAAGTATGCCCTTGCACATTGCACTAGATAAGCTGAAATAATTAATATAAATTTATGGAATAAGTAGTTTTTGGTTTAGTGATTTACCTGAGGTAGGAATTGACACAGGTTTGACACTTGAATATTCAGCGAACTAATCAGTTCTTCCACCTCTCGCTGTTTGGCTTGCTTTCCGCCAAGATACCAAACTGACCTGTTTCCTTGGCGATGAATCTCACGCTTCACAACCCAATTCCGTCCATTAGGGTTAAAAAGTTCAATTTCCAACAAGGCCTTCTCAGCACCATGTTTGACAAATTCTCCAACCTAAAACAACAAAAAACAACATCAAAATCTTTGATTAATATTCACAACAAAGCTAAGTATGAAATTACAATATTTCAGAAACACCAATTTACTATAATAAAAATTTGTGAAATATTGTCTGCATTGTTAATTGCGACCCAAAGTCTATGTACAACACACTAGATATTCGACGAATTAGGGGTATAATAATTTGAATAGGTCAGTGACTTACATCTTTTGCACGTCCAAGCACTTGCGTCTTGCCGGCTAGACCAAGGCATATAGCACACACTACAGAAGATTTTCCAGTTCCATTTGGTCCAATAATGGCATTTAGATATGGACTAGGCAAGATTTCACATGATGTATATGTGCTAAAAATTAAAAAAAATAGGCAGGTTATTTTCAGCTGTGAAGTTCTCTGATAGACCATGGAGGTATTATTGGGGAGATCACTCGGCTACAGATCCCTTTGACCCGACAATCCAATGCCTTTGGATCGCGCGCGGACGTATTACTCTATATAATTCACATTTTTTTTGGCCAACTTGGCGCATGAACACCATGTCATTACCAAACAGCCCAGACGCATGCACGTGTATAGCTTTAATGTTTGTTTTGGTGACAACATGGCTGGTGTAAGTCATGTACTTGCGATCCACCCAATCACACGCGCGTATAACAGAACCCCTGAAACCGAGTTGGCCAAACTCTCTCTATCTACGGCTCTGATGCTATACACTGAATAGCGCCCTCTACCAGCTGTCCTGTCAGCAGGTCCGGGGTCCCCGAATATTTAGCAGCTAGGATCAGATCATACATGTGAGAAAGCCAGATAAGCTAATATGATGAATCCTGACAGGACAGCAGACAGAGGTCGCTATTCAAGCCCAACTCCCAACTTCATTTTTGCCTGCGGAAGTTATGATCTACCAGATTCTTTGAAAACAGTTTATTATTTTCATAATATTAATAGACAATTGTTATTGAAAATAATTAAGGCCTAGGTATATGAATAAGCCAAGATTACAAACTATATTTTACTTCTCAACACTAAGCAGTCCCACATCTTGTGCATCAGCATTGCATTATATAAACAATACTGTACATAAGCTTGCCAAAGAAAGAGGCCATTTAACTGTCTGCAACACTTCTAAAAGGTCACAAAATTAATTAAATGCTATCATAGATTACCAACCTAGATAGCCAAGAGCCAGGCCTAGCCTACCCTATAAAATAGACAATTTGTAAAAAAAAAACAATGATTTAATAGGCCCCAATCAGAAAATAAACATCTGCACCCTGGTAATTGATGACGTAATTAATAAACCTTACACAAAATTCTCCATCCGTATCCTTACAACGGAGCCTTCCATAAACGTCTCCTTCTTCGCCATGCCTGAAGCGATGGGTTACACGGCACTGTCACTGCCGGGGAGTCCCTACTGCGTCGTGTGGTTCGTCCGCACGATCAGAGAGTAAGAAGCTTTTAGTAAAGCAAGCCTACTCTCCACCAAAACAAAGCGCGCGAACAGAACTGAAATTAAAATGTTGTCAATTCGTGCTCAGAAATAGTGTCAGACAAGGCTAGGTATTAATTATTACGTAGTTACATTAAAGATAAACATAGGCATATTCATTAATGACAAAATAGGCTACAATACGATTCACAGCTTTACTTACAACATCAGAAAGACCGCGCACCTCATGAAAAAAACATGTCAAAATCAAAACCAATGATCTGACCTGTTTGGCGTACTGACCTTTAAATATGTATGGGACGTCATTAGTGCATAAATGAAATACAGATAAATGCATTTCGATGTAAAACCTGACCAAAACCTTTAATTTAATTAATCCATTATTACAGATTAATTATCAATTAACTTATCAATTTAGGCTTATTATTTTTGGTCCGACTGCACGTAGAGCTTTGACCGATGATGGGGGGTTTGACCAGACCGATGGGGGATTAAGGCCCCCCCCCCGCTGTTGCCGCCCTTGGGGTAGGTCTTAACGGGGGTCGTGGTACCCGACTAGAGCAAAGTGGGCGTGGTTGGGCTTCGCTCAAAATCAGTGATGGCGCCAGAATCTGCCCGACCGGGACGGGGAAGGGGGACGACTTGGCAAGCGAACCGGCCCGGTCATTTGTTTGGGGGCAAGCGGCCCCCTGGAAGCCACGGATATTTGCTGAATTTTGGTCAATTAGCCTATTTGACAGACATCAAGCTACCGTGATATAACTTCATGTAGGCCTAGGCTTATGTTTTGTAATGTCAAAGTCAACTTCAAATATCGAAACGTTTTGAATAAAACGAGAAACAAAGAGTATGCAGTGAAACCAACTAATTTAGTTTCAAATCCGTTTTCCATTTTATATTACCGTACCGTACTCGCGCGAATAAGCGCCCCTCTCGAATAATTTAGTTAAGCGCTATAAGATTTTCTTTTTAGAAAGTCAATAATCCAATCAATCCTGGGACTGTGTGGTCGTTGGCGTGATTTGAGCTGCTGCTGCAGAGTGGAATACCATTCTTCTTTAGGTCAATATCAAAATGAGGATATTAATTCTCTTGCACAGATGAGAGCTCCGATCACTGATCTCTACTATAATAGCTGGATTGCTCATTGGCTCAGGTTTCAGTGAGACCACCGACGCCATATTGGGAGGCCTAAGTGAAGCATCATTTTAGACAAGTTTATTTTGGCATTTCTTTAAATTATTTTAAAAAATAACTATTCCTGCAAAACTTTTTAATAATAAAGTTTAAAGTAATGATTATTATCATCTATCTACTTGATGTGACTTTTTATGCAGTTTGTTTAAGAAAGCGCGGCGATTTACTTGTGTTGTATGGATCGACTTCACTAAGACTACTCTCGCGCTTTTAAAAACTGCATAAACAGTCTAGTTTTTAGATAGTTTGAAAAAAATTCCTACGTAAAATTTTAATTTATTATTGAAAAGTATTGCAAGATTCTTTATTTTTAACTATAATTTAAACAAATGCCAAAAGAAACTTTTCTAAACTGGTACGTCACTTAGGCGTCCAACACTTTTCTGTACCAGGATTATTGGCCAATGAGCAATCCAGCTATTATAGCAGAGATCAGTGGCTCCGATCATCCCTGGATAGGCAGTATATTTCTAACTTTCCTTTTTTATAGGCCTATATTCGTCTAGGCCTAGTCCAACTATCTATCTTTCTATTTCCGACAATTTTGCACCTTTGCACATTCACATCTGAGTTTTCAAGAAAACATGCAATGATCCTGCCATCCTGCTAATCTCAATCGGCCGATGGCCAACAAGCTAATTATACCAATACTAATAAGGCCAAAAAAATAAATTGCTTGTTTGCCCTTCTTTTTTAAAAACGATAAATAGGGGCGGGTGAAAAAAGTTTTTTTTTTTAAATTATTATAATTATGTTTTTAATACTCATCAGATGGAATAAAAATAACTCACAGAGGCCTAGAATGGCAATATCTTACATCAGACAACAACTTTAGACTAATTTGTAGGGCATCTGGCAAAAAATAAAGATAGATTTTCTCACATTTTCTTTTAATTTGTAAAGAAAAATGCTAAAAAAAATTTTTTGGTCACTTTTGCCCCTATTTTTTTCAATGAGTTAGCGAGTTAGTTAGTTCTTTATTTATTTGTTTCACACTCTCAGATTAAAACAGAGACCATGCTAATTCTGGCTTATGAGTGAAATCCGGGACATTTTTAAAACCCAAGCAAAAAACACGATTAAAATGTTTTAAAAACAGGATATACAAACATTTCTTAAAATATGATTTACTTAAACAAAATAGACTACCGTAAGGAGAGGATTTGGTAGGCAAATTTAGCTACCCTAATGAGTTAGCGGTGGGTGGAGGAGGGCAAACAAATAATTTATTTTTTTGGGCCTAATTTGCCATCTGCTATTCTGTAAATATTCACAGCTTGTCATGTGCCATATGTTCTCTAGAGGATTATCTTTTCGGCCCCACCACCATTCGTAGCCTAATGTTCTTATATAATCATTTTTCATTCAAATAGTGCCTCTTGAATTTGACAAGTTCCCATAAGAACCGCTCGATTTTCATTTTCCCTCAATTTCCACATTGTTTTTATAAACGCCACGTTTGAATAAGCGCCCCTCAGAAAGTGCAAAAAAAGAAATATTTTAAGCGACCAGGCGGGTTATTCGCGCGAGTACGGTAATACTATCCTTATATCATGGCAACATCCAGGTTTTTCATAATCCATGTGAATTGTGAATTATTAACAACAAAATTACGAAAGAATTATGCCTTACTGTAAATTGTAAGGCCACCAATTTGTGATATTATACTACGATAAATTAAAAAACACGTCATCGGAAACATCACAGCAAGCTTATAATTCGAAGAGATATTATACATTTGGAAATTTGCCTGTGAAATCTGTCAACACGAGGTTCCTTCCACGACATTCCAGCATCATAAAGATATCCAAACGAGCATTTGTCATAGTAGAACGCAAATAATGTTTGATTAGTCTCATTGAATAGGGGTAAATCCAGAATTTTACAGACTGGGGTGGGGGGAGGGATTTTGATTTTTTTTTTCTTATTTCAATACATAACGTTATTTAAAACATTAGTGTCAATACGCTGTTTTGACACTGTTCTGCTGACTTACGTTCCAATAAATATTTGAACGTATCGTATTCACTGTGTAGATTATCTGTTGTTTCATTGGGCTAAATTCAATGTGAAAAGTAAGATATACGGTAGCAGGATAACTAACAATAAAAGGGCACGTGAATGTGTTATTATTATTATTATTATTATTAATATTATTATTATTTTTATTATTATTGTTGATTTTGTTGTTATTATTGTGATGAAAAGTACGTGAACACAAACAGTACACAAATAGTTCAATGAAGACGTTACATTTGCTAAACGAACAGACATGTAAAATATATTTTTAATTTTTTTTATTCCCCGACAGAATGTACTCGTCTTCTCCGACAGGGGGCTAGGCTTCCCCAGCGAGGTGGCTATACCTTCCTTAGCCCCTTGGCATCACAACTCAAAATGTTTCGAAAGTGTTCCTGAAAGGGCTTTAATTATTAAAGATAATTTCTAAAATAGGATATTTGCATGCACTCTTAAATGTCTCTGTTTTAAAATAACAAAACAGTTTTTTTTATCCATTTTTGTCCAAGGACTTAATGCATCAGCAATTATTAACAAAAGTGTTACCTTACATTGACGTCACAGGGTTGATTATGAGAAAATGTAAATGGTCTTTAAAAAATATTATCAAAAATATACCGTAGTAAAGTCTATATTGTTAATGACATTAGAAAGGCCCTCAAGAAAAAATGTCTTTAGAGGTCCCTTTTAAAGTATCTGCATAGAGAAGGCAGAAGGTCCCGCGGTTGAATTAAGTTGTGGTAACTTTTTTTAATACTCGCAGATTACTCTTCCTTAATGTTCCAAATTTATATTATATATATATTTCTTATATATACACCCTTAAACTGTACAAAGGATAGTATGAGACTTGAAAGAAAGTGAAAGCTGTTCGATTCTATATTCTAAATTTATTTGTTCATCTTCGTTAAGATAATAATAATTGTAATTTGCCAAACAATTAAAATTACCTGTTGAAGCTAAACACAATACAGAACAAAAGATAGTTATTACAGATGTTACTAACACAGAATAAAGATTACAAAGTGACATATATTAACAATCTTAAAATGATTATATACAACAACAGCGCAAACGTGTATTTCATAATTTTCCAAACAATTGAACTAAAAGTAGGCCTACATTATGAATACAGAATAAAAAGTAAGTTATGCTAAGTTTACATGTATATTAAAACAGAAGGTTATGAAGTGTATAGGCTTACATTAAAAAATCTAAAATTGATATTATCTTTAATAATATGGTCCATGCGCATGTTCTAGAATGGGGACAGTACTATCTTTGGAAAAGGGTAGGGGATTGTCTTCCAGTGAACTGCCCAATTCACCACCAGAAGGACCCCACACAAACAAGTCTTTGAATTAGTGAGTTATCCTTGGTGTAATTCGCACCACTATCACTATTGATAACAGTAACAACAATGGTTTTCAATTCACTTAGCACCTTCCACAACAAAAATCATTTAAATTCGCAATACATTATTATTATTATTATTATTATTATTATTATTATTATTATTATTAATAATAATAATAATAATAATAATAATAATAATAATATTATGATTATCAGGAAATAACCCATACTAACCAAATAACCAAAACAATCCCCAACAAATGAAACTAGCACACAAAACCACACATTTTCACCAACCTGCCAAAGGGCCTGCCCAGCTATGATTTCACAAGTGAGACGATATGGACAAAAACAAACAATACCATTAAGATGTGTGGATTAGGAAGCAATGTTGATCAGTCGGTGGAAGATGTCAGGAAGATTGATATATTTTGTTCTTTTTTAGTATAAAAAAACATGAATATTTTACTATTAATGTACAAATTTAAATTACGTAAATTTAATTGTACTTTAATCAACAGAAAGAAAATCACACCTACAACATGAAATAATTTGTTTCATGAGTTTCAGGAATTAGATTCATGAAATAAATACTAATAAAAATAACAATTAATAAAAATAAATCCATTTTAGAATTATGTATTTTGATTTTTATATTTTTTAATAAATATGCTAAATGTTTTCTCCTAATAATTTTTCATTTATTCACGCTTGAAGTAAAATGCTTTTCCTTGTTGTTGAAGTTCTGTTTCATACATGTCGTACTCTTTTTGAAGCAATGTCTGAAGGGCTTTTCTTCTAACCTTGAAGGGAAAAAATCAAAGAAGATTAATGCATATCAAACAGAACCAATAAATCTTATCTTCCCTGTTATTGTTAACATAATAAATATAATAGTACAGATGAACTTGCATAAGTCAAATCCAAAATGGCACTGAAAAATTGTTCGACTTAGAGAAAATGTGACTTAAAGATTATTAATTAATGGAAAACACAACAATTTGCATGGAAAATATTATCGACTTATTCGAGTTAGGCAAATTCGACTTAGGCAAGTTTAATGGTAATAGTATTACAGAATGAGTAGTTTTGTACATAGGAACATGTAGCCAACCATGCAAAAGAAAGACATTCGGAGAAAAATTGGCCTAACAACAATACAATAATAATCATCACAAGAATATTCATACCAGTACAGTAACAATATTTCACTCTATATTGCTTATATTTATAATTAATATCATTATCACCATCACTGTCATAATCATAATCTCATCAATGAATAAAAAAAATATATAACTATGAAACGAAAGTTCAGGTGACAAACAGAAGAAATGATGGCTGAAGGTTTAGAATGTAATTGTAATGTCATACTCTTACCGCTACTAATGCTTTTCCGGTCATAAAAGTCTCATGGTTCATCCTTACAAGATCCTCCCTTACTCTACCACTCCCAGAAGCTGTCTCCAGTCCCTCTGACCACTCTGCTTGCTCGTTTACCTTCTTTTCACTAACAAAAAATGTATTTTATCTGATTAAATTACAATAACACCAATTCAAATTTCAAATTCAAATTTATTTCGGGTTAAAATTACAATCAAAATTACAATTAAAAAAGACAATAAAAACAGAAACAAAAACAAAGAGTGCTGCCAACCCAAGATAACCAAAAGTACACAAATCCCAAATGTGCCACTATCATGTGGCTCTCCAAGGCAGCACTCAACACACAGAAAACAACACAAAAGATATAATACTGTAGATATCATTTAGAAAAATATAATATTAAAAGAATGTAATATAAAATAATATTGGATTGGATTGGGATTCAGAGTGTATTGAGGTCCCTCTGGTCGTGATTAGACATTACACCAGGAGTCAATACCCTATATTTTCCCCAAAGAGTGTACTGCATTCCTTAATATGCACCATCTTGTACAGAAGACCAAATGGCTTATATCTCCAATGGGTGCCCTTTTATATACTTGCATTTCAGCTTTCAGCAGAAACACAAGGAAGGCAGTGGATAGAAAAGAACTGGGTACCAATCAAATCTCCACGATTCAGTGCACAGACAGTTTAGCCGACTGAGCTCTAAAATAATGAGTGTGATAAAACAACGATCTGACAATAATAAATAAATGTGTATATTAATATAACAATATCAATAAAAACTAATATTAAATTAGTAAATGATGATGGTATAGCAGATAAGCAACAACTATTTCATTTATGATTTACTGAATTATACTCATGTACTCACTTCTTCACAATTGATTCTCTTGCCACGATAAGCTCATCATACTACAGTAAAACAAAATAATGATATGACATTGATATTGATTACAAATTAATAATACAACAACCATTAACAAAAAAGAACAGTTTAAAAAATATACACACATAGTTAGCCGAGGTATAACAGTATTCCACACCTAGCTAGGGGCCTAGAGCACATAACTGAACTCTCTGCTACGACAAGGTAGATTTAATAGTAATGTTAGAAAGAAATCCTTCTCAGTTAGAGCAATGAATGACTGGAATGCACTCCCAAATTTTGTTGTGTATGCGAAGACAGTAAATAAATGCCTTTTTTAGGCCTAAGTTTGGTCTGGAAAAAGCAGGGAACAGTGAAATTACAATAACTGGTACTCCTAGGCCAGGCCCTGGCCTAAATAAAAAAATTTAAAAAATCCTAAAATACTGTTAATAATAAACGCCTAGGCCCTAGGCATAGGAAGGCCTGTAACTAATAGCAACCTATCGTTAAGTGGTCAAAAAAGGTAGGCTAAAACCTTAGGAATAGGTAGGCCTAACTAGCCTAGGCCCAGACTGTCCTAGTGTACTGTGTGTAGATAGCAGGCTGGGCCAAGCCTGTTCACTGAGTGTGCTAAAGCAGGAGGAACGGAGGTCCCGGGCCTCTCAAAACTGAACAGGAACTTAGGCCTAAGCCTACCTTTATACGTTCTTTCTGACGGTTCAAAGCACGTTTTAAACTTGTTTTCTCGGTTTGTGTTTCAAAACGATAGGATGTCGCAAGGCTCATTGTATACAGAATTAATTAAATAAAATACTAGGCATACAATAATGAACGGATACCGCGTCGTATCAAATCAAAACAAAGCCTTTGAATTTGAATATGCAAAAGTTTAATTGTTTATTAACGTTGCCTAGCAACTCACAACCCTAACATCGCGTTAGTATGGCATTCGCAGGGTAAAATCATGTATCGCCGCCTTGACAATTAGTATACAGTGCAACAGAAAACTTTTTTTGTTAAAAAGAAATTCCTTAAGCTCACAAAATTCATAAAATACTAGTTGTAAAGAGTGATCACCTATAACTATATCGCGGTGGTACCGCTATATCCTATTTACCTAAATTCTTATTATAGTATAATGTATACGGTACTCCAAGTATCGAAATGCACGCCATCGTGTCAGGATTCAATATTTCGACATTAATTATGTCACCATCCTGATGATGAAATAATCTGAGACAACTATAGAAGTTGTATAGTCTCACATAATTAATGTCGAAATATTGAATCACACGACACGATGGCGTGTGTGGTGCAGGGGTGCGCACCCATCTCCCCCCACCCCCGTCGGGGAGAAAAACCACAATTTGTCGGGGAGAAAAAATATATATAGGCCTATGTATTTTCTACATATTATTAGACGCCAAAAGTTATTATTTTAAATTTATTTATTAACTTACAAGGCCCCATTCCCGGCAAAATTTTACTAGAAAAGAATTTTTTCGTTACTACCAGACCCATGCAAGGAATATTTATTCATTTAATCATTTCCACATAAGGATTCGTTTATTGTATTTATTGTATAATTTTTTCATTCAGCATCAATTCAAAAATGACAATCTTTTATTGTACGAACTTCATTTCATTTTTTATTTAACTCGTTTTTCCTCAACAAACGTTCGCAAGAACGCCGGCGGAAGGGGCCATTGATTGTTCCACTTTTTCTACTGGGGAATAGCTCCCTCCACACCCTCCCCCATCCCATGACTTCCCTGCAGCCCCACTTTTGTGACTATTTCCAGCGCCAGTGACAAACATTGTTAACGAACGCTATACAATGTCATTATTGTACAATATAGGCCTATATTTTTTTCATTTTCAAACGAACATTACAAGTTTCCTTTTTGAGTTGAGCAACGAGTGGGTACATATTGACGTCTCTGTTTAAGCGCTCCCCTATAAAGTTTTCTTGCACAGGGCGGAGGAGGCACTGTGGCGCTCTAGTTCTCTTTATCATGGTAGCCATGAAGATATAATGATTAATTGATTGTGTTACGCAAATAGCGTAACATAACCACATTTTAAATTTCATCTATAACGAAAACGAGAGACGTTAATTAGGTCCTCTGAAGGTTAACTAAAGTATTTACTGTATTCTAAAATGTAGGTTGTAAAAACTTAATAAAAATACTCATTTACGAATTAGTAATCTGTAACGAAGTGAGGCTATGTCAAACGTTTAATATTGAACTACCATCCGAGCTTCTAGGGACTATCATTTTTTAAGGGCCCGCTTCCCGTCGGGGAAAAGAGAAGGTTTCGTCCGGGAATACAAAAGTATGATTAAAAATATCACTAATCGTTTAGTATATCTGATCCTCATTGATCTTGGTTTTTTGCAGTTTTGACCTGGTTCCGAACATTCACCTCTAGCCTGGGTGCACTAGGCACTTTTTAATTTCATTCAACAAACACTTACTGACAACGAAGGGTGTAGGCACTGTGTTTGTAATTTTTTTGTGTGTGTTCTCTGGCCTATTGTTGGTGTTTGGTGTACTTAAAGTGGTTTATGGTGCAGTTCCACACACAAAATGTTTTCATGTAAGTTGATATTGGCATCAAAGCTCAATAGAAATAGGTAGACTATTATATTTCTGTTTGAGATTGAAAACAAACGGTAAGGCAAACTCCACGCCCACGTAAGTATGATGCTAGGGCTATAGAAAATCCGGACGTTTAGACGCAGACTTCCACAGAGCAACAGAGAGTGAACAACCAAGGTACAACAGGAAACAGATCCATTTTGCTAATGTAAGTTATAAAACAAATTTGGACCTCTTTATTTTCCTCAGTATAGATCGGTATCTTTTTTTTTGAAAAAAAACTCCTAGATAAATTATAGTTAAAACATGAACAGTAATAGTGTGGACTCCATGATTTAACTCATTGTTGTTTACCATAGTTAAGTTATATGATTAATATAGTATAATTGTTTTTTAACATTTTAAATATATATTTCATTTTTGTATCATAAAACCTAGTAATTACAATTACCCTAGTAAGAACATTACCATTAGCGTATTTGTATTTGACGTACGGCGAATAAGGAATTTAATTGAAATGAATGAATGAATGAATGAATGAATGGCCGGAGGGAAACTGAACAACTGACCAATAATAGCACAGGACCCGGCGGTTGCGCCAGAAATTTGCCGAAAAGGGGTCCGACATGGCCCGACATATCCGAGGCGGGGGGGGGGGTCCGAACCAAGGGGCCGACTAGAGCCTCGACGGCCCGGAATAAAAAATCTCTGGTCAGGGAGAGTTTTTATTGCTTTGATCCAAATCGTGCAGACCGCAATATTAGGGATTGAAAATAACGTTATTTGGATAGGCAAATTATTATTTTTTTATTTTTGATCCGACGACTTGTCGTGGCAACAGACGACAGGGGGTCCAGACATCTCCGACTCGGAGGGAAAATTCCCCTAACA